GTTGTTATTGTTATTATTATTATTATTATTATTATTATTATTATTATTATTATTATTATGTTGTAATGATGTTGTTTGTACTGTTCTTTAATTTTATTAAAGAGGGCCCCTGAATATCAGTTAACCTCTTTAAAGATGGTTGAAATAAACAATTACAAAAATAAATACCCACTCTGACCCAAGACCCCTGTTACGCGCCTGGTGTTAGCGCCAATGTGTGTCCTTGTGCGGACAGGAGATGTGCCCCCTCTGAAGCTGGATACCTTGTTTTTGCAAAATAAATTGATGCAATTTGCTATTATAGGCCTAATCAATAAATTCCTCATCAACCGATATAACCTTAAACATTCTTGGAATTGACATAACATTACTGATGTCGTACACACCCTTCAGTGTAAAATGTGGCTCTCTTTGTAAGCACATCTAACATCTAAGGAAAGAAGAGCTTAGATTGGTACCAGATAAAATAATTTTGTTATCAACATTAATAGATAATGCTCATTTTCATCTTTGTAAGCGCATAAGACAGTGCAAATTATTTCTGTGACAGTCTTTTGAATTGTGCAAAGCTCCATTTTATCCCATACATAGTCAAAATATTGGGGGGATGATACAATGGACCATCCCCCTTGTCAAATATTGGGGGATATATCCCCATCCCCCCGGGATCTACGCCTATGATTAGAGGTGGTGCTTTAAGTGCTTCTGAATTAGATGAATTGCAGCAGTCAGAAAGTATACGAAAATCGACAGAGAAAGAAAATAGGCCTGTGAACTAGTTTTCTTCCGTATTCTTGAATCGAAGGAGGATGACATTCAAGTTTGTAAAAAATATGATTTTGACAAGCTTAAAGGAAATAAGAGTTTGTTCGGTGACATGGATTTTGATCGTTACACAGTATTAGTACCAGCAACTCTCGTCGTCCACCACAGGGGCTGTGTGTACCAGTACACCGGGGTATCCCCCTACTCGTCTCGAATGATGCACTGGGTTCTTCATAGTGCACATGAGCCATTGTGTACACTGGGCCTACGTTTATAGTACTTCTCCGAGAAGACCTATTCTACCACCAGAACCATTTAGGCGAGCGTGCCGTTCGAACTAGCGGCGATATTATGGCTGTAGGATGCGGCTGTCTCGGCCACTAGGCCAAGTTTAAAAAAAAAATGATTGTATTGGCCACGACCGATCGAATTGAGGTTCGGCATTTTAGTTTTTGTTTTTGTTGGTTTGTTTTTACTACAACAAAACAATTTTTTTTTTAGTGAGCTAAAAAGGCTGGAATAAGACTATCTTGCTGGACGGTAGGTGATGCGACAGTGTTAAAAATGGTCTTTGTTAGTTTTGTGTATTTTCTACTTTTTAGGCATGAACACATTTTTGGAAAAGAAAAAACTTTTCCCTCCGACCTGCCCATTTTTAGATTTTCCCAAAACGTGACCAACACATGATTATTTTGTCTTTATGAACGGACAGTTGGAAGATCTACTCCGAGGGCCACACAAGCCTTGACTAAAATTCTCGAAATCAAGGTAAATCAAGGCGATAAAGTTATCAGGCATTGCTAGAATATACTGATTTTTTAATGTGATATTTTTTGGTTCTAAAATACAGTTCATATAAATCACAGGTGGGAAAGTTGCGGCCCACATGCGGCCCGACAGCAATGTTTTTGCGGCCCGCGAAGATGAATTAAAACCCCTATGTGTGTGGCCCGCCAAGCAACATTGACTAGAAAACGCCTTGTTTTTTACCACCCGACGCCGATCATATGTAAAAAAAATAACATTAAAACTGAAAATAAAGTGGTGTAAAAGCAGAGCTTGGAGGTTTTTGGAAGCTCACTGGAAACATCAAGTTTGGGTACGGCCCTCGGTGTTAAATAAAAAATTTACTTTGGCCCTCCGACCGATTTTTATGAACACCCTGATATAAATGTAGTGATGCATTCTAGATACTTATTATGATAGGAATAAAACCTGATCCATTAATAGAGCTGGTTTTATTTTGTGGTACAATGACAGTACATCATACACAAGAATGCAATTCCGTTGTTAAAAGCAAACAATGCCAACTCTTTGTTCCAAAAACTTTTGATATTATTTTATTACACAGAGGCGATAGTGAAATATTTCCACTAACCTCTGTAAAGAAAGGAATTAGCCTAGGGTGATGTTCCTTGTAAAAGTAAAAAGGAATTTATTTCCCGTTCAAGTTGGATTCCCTTGAAAGCAAATACTTATTATTGTGGGTAAAAATCTAGTTGTTGAGTAACCAACACTTATTATTATTTAAACAAAAAAACATTATCCTAATTCGGTATTATAATAAACTTAAAATGCGCATACAGTGCCAATGTCAACTTTATTTTGACAAACTAATTATTTGATGTTAACATAGGTCTAATTACCGGTAAAATCGATAATAACATATGAAAACAAGTTAATAGTTCTATATTAACTGTCTAGTGTGACAAAATGATGTATATTTGGCATTATTATTATTATTATTATTATTATTATTATTATTATTATTATTATTATTATTATTATTATTATTATTATTATTATTATTATTAAGCCTATTATTATTATTATATAATATTGTTAACATTAGGTCTATTATTATTAAACCTATTATTAGGCCTAGGCTTATTATTATTAAGCCTATTATTAGGAATATTATTATCATTAGACCTATTATTAGGCCTATTATTATTAAGCCTGTTATTAGGACTACAATTATTAGGCCTATTATTTGGTTTATTATTAATTATTAGGCCTTTTATTAGGCTTCTTATTATTTTTAGGCCTATTATTAGGCCTAAGCCTATTATTCCATTTATTATTATTAAGCCTATTATTAAAACTGAGAATAAAGTGGTATAAAAGCAGTGCTTGAAGGTGGTTTTGGAAGCACACTGTAAACAACAAGTTTGGGTGCGGCCCTCGGTGTTAAATCAAAAATTCACTTTTGCCCTCCAACCGATTTTTATGCCCACCCCTGATTTAAAGGTATTGAGTTCTAATAGTATTGAGTTCTAATAGTAATCATGGACCTATTAATAGGTCCATGTTTAATGATTAATAACTTTGACTGTATTTCATCATCATTTTGTATTATTAGAACAGAGAAATTGTCTTTGAAAGAGATCTGATTAAATGAGAATGAGTCCAGTTCATTTGCTTTTTGCGACCCAAACATGTAGCAAATATTACAACACAGACCTATGTATTTTTGTTTTGTTATCAAGAAGTTCAATGTTTTTTTTCTGTCTGTCTGTTGTGATGGTTTCATCAATTCCTATTTAACACAGCGCCCTCGTACAGGAAGTTTTAACAAATTGTTCTATAAAAAGGCCCTTGAGAAACAACTCAACTAAAGTTAGATGAAAACTACACACACGGATATAAACAACGCTGATAAACCACATGCTGAATTATGTTGGACGTGCTGTACTCGTAGTTGTATCTATATTAGTACACTGTTTTTGCGATCATACCGGTAGGTCAAAATTATGTTTAGTCACACAAAATATTAATATAGGACTAGATTTAAATGAAAAATGACACCCTGGCAACTAGACGTGGTATCTACTGTATGTATTTGCCCAAGGTTGAACGGATTTTAATATAATAATGGATAGTACTTAAAAAGTTATTTTTAGCTGCTTTTTATATTTCAACAAAAAACTGCCAGTGTAATCGGATTTGTCAGCGTGAATAAATTAGTATCTTAAGGCATGTTTTGTGGTGTTCCCTGGTCTAGTTGTAAACATTCGCGCAAATGGAAAATGAAAAATGAAATTAAATGTCACAATAACCAGCGTCTGAAATCTGGGGGAAGGGGTGGGTCAAGGTAAAATTTTAGGGAGAAATATGCTGGGTTGGCTTGAAATGGGCGTAGTCAGGCATCGTCCAAAATGTCTCAAAAGTTGTCCAAGGCGAAGCCCCCGAAAAATATGACAGTGTAGTAGTTTCCGAGGTTTATTTAATCGATTTTATAGGTAGATATGTCTACTAATATGTAGAAAATACATATAATTTTTTGGGAAAATTCCCCCGTTCCCCCTCCCCGTAGAGCCGCCACTGACAATGACACAAAGGAGTCAATTATTTATCGATGGGTTGCAATTTTCCATGTTACACAAAAACAGTCAGCATAACAGACAAAATACGTCCTACTGTACAATAACAAGGGAGTCACTGAAGTAAATTAAAGAACGATATGGAAACATTTAAGTCATATTATGCTGCTTATAACTATCTTTTTGTTAGTGTTCAATCTATAGAATTAGACCGTTACTGTTGAATAACATTCAATTATATAAATATACCTGTTATACAATGTTACACCATATAGGCCTATAATAGTTTCCTTGAGGGTTTTAAAAATTTGGATTTTCCAGCAACTTGAACTCACGATGTAGAATTGGGAAAGCAACAACAATAACCAAAAACTCGGCCCGAATAAGACCTATATAAGCGAAATTACGGTAATTGTGTTCAAACATTGTATTTAAAGTCATGTGTATGTTTTTTCAGAATTTTTTCTGCATTAGGCCTTGAATTCGATAAATTACAGGGACAAAATGTCAAAAATAGAAATTATAGTTCAAATCATGTATCTAGTGTCTAGGGTACCGGGAAGTGGCCTACCAGCAAATTCCAGGATTTTTACGACTTATATAACTTTATCCCATAAGCCTCGTAATAATGGGACTTAATTTTGATCATGAGTTCAAGTTCCTGGAAAATCCAACATTTTAAAACCCTCAAAGAAACTATATATGGTATTACATTGTAAACACAAGAGCTGATCGTCCCCCACCCCCACTCCTCTGACCCCTTTTTAAAAGGTGTGATGGATTTTGGTGGAAGTACTTGGTGACAATTTGTTCGGTTCTTCATAATTTGATTATTTTCTACTGATACGATTGACTAGCACTCAAACCCACACATACAATTGCAGCTGGTGGTTACTTTTAATATTCCTTTAAGTCGGTTTCCATTTTGAGTAAAAAATAAAAATAAAATATTAAAAAAGTAATAAATCATATTTATCTGTTCTTTCAAACATTTTAATCTCGTAAATCCTGACTCGATAAGACCGGTAATGATCAAAATTAAGTCCCATTATTACGAGGCTTATGGAATAAAGTTATATAAGTCGTAAAAATCCTGGAATTTGCTGGTAGGCCTACTTCTCGGACCCTAGACTCGGACGAGTTATTCTGACTGTCGAGCATGATTAGGAACAAAGATATACATCCAAGGTCCACAGGAATGACTTTCCAGTAGTCATATATCTACTATTACAGTATGGACTAGCTCACTATGATTTCCCATTTGGGTAACAACAGGCATATGAACGCTTTCATTAATCCTCTATTCAACGAGACAGATATATATATATGCCTATATATATGCCTATATATATATATGTGTGTGTGTGGATGTGTGTGGGTGTGTGTGTGTGTGTCAAGTCAAGTTGCTGCTTAGCACGGGGAACATAAATAATGTATAAATCATATACAAATCAAACACAGTGCTCTAATATACAGGAACATGAAGTTATAAAATTATATCAAACATAGTTCATCAACGAAAGTTTCTCATTATAGTTGTATGAAAAAGAGATCTCTGATGGGAATCGAACCCGCAATCGCTCGCTATCTCGGTGAGCGTCATATCGTTTAGACCACAGAGGCCCGTACGATAACATTGCGGATCTCAGACCACTATTCTCTCTCCCTTCATACAACTTCAAGGCTCACACATAGTGGAGCCAATCTGGTAAATCACAGTAAATAATATTCAAATCAAGTTGCTGCTTTAGCACTGGGAACAATAAGTTTATTAGTTTATTCACATTAAAATGTATTTTACTTACAATACAATTTGACTAAACTTATGTTTACGTACTTTTTTAAAATTTAAAAATGTTTATTTTGAAACATGATCTGTATTTTTGTATTCTTGTTAAAAGTATCTTTTTTGTAAACATTTCTTTGTTTATGTTTCTGTGTTAATTGTTTTTGACGTGTTCCGCTGATCGAAAAGTGTAATTATAATAATTTCGGAATGGTTTTACAAACATATAAATATCTGTGGTAAGAACGGTCTATTTACATAGGTAGACCTTGATATTGCGTCGTAGGATGATGCACACACGCCCTGTTTCAAATACTTTGCTTTAATAAATTGTATTGCTTCATATTTCCTATAATTAGTCGAAAATTAGATATTTATAATTTTCATTTCAATATATTTCTACTTTATTCTTTTTATTATTGTGCTTTAATAAATTATATTGCTTCATATTTCAAAAACTGTAACTTCATCGAAAGATTAGACATTTATAACTTTTCATTTTCTATATATTTTTATTTTATTTTTGTTATTATTGGGCTTTTTTAATATACAGTATTATACCGTATTACTTCATATTATGTCTACAATTCAAAGCTACGTTTTAGCTTAAAAATAGAATACAATGATGTGAAGATGATTATAAAAGAATAAGTGACGGTATTTTAACATTGTCGGTTAATGTATTATACGTTTATTATGTTATTGGTATTTAATTATAAATCAAAGAAAACATGATTCATAAAAAATGGCCTAAAAGGTAATAATATAGGTAACATCGTGATTTCTCAGAAAATTGTGTTATTGTCATCTATGTCTAATATTAGGCTTATTACAATTATTAGTTTATCAACCTATATAGGTTGGAAAAGGGATGAGGGAGGGAGGATTTTTATTTTAATTTACTATTTTGCTAAAGCAAAATATCACCCTTGGGTTGTTTGCTGGATTGATATTTAAAGTAAAATACATGATTGACATAATACAAACAATATCTACTAATTATTTACTAAAAATATAAAAAAGATTAAAAAAAATGTTTTTCCAAAGTTATTTTTAATTTCAAACTATTGTATTCTTCAATAAAAGACATGCGGGTGCGGGTGATAAACTAGTCATTTTTTATTGGGCCTTAGTAGGAAATTACTGTATTCTGAGTAGGCCTACATACCTTTTATTAACGAACGTCAAACATTATATTACTGACAATACATATTCATAGTTCAGTACACTTGTAACGGTTACGCCCGCTATATAAAATCATAAAGCGTGTGGGGGAACATTTGTGTAGCTTAAGCCAACCTGAATATCTTTTCATATTCAAATATTAGTACGATACGAACACAGAGGAGCCAATACACTCGGACTGAAGAGACCTTGGCAGACGTCAGACTGCAGCGTCGACTAACCTGCATCAACCAGTTACATACCTTAGTTATTCTGTAATCCAAGTCGGAAACACACAATCTAATTATAAAGGGAGCAGTTAATTCTTGGAAATGAGACGTTGGATTGGAATAGCACTCGTATTAATCGTGTGCGTGAGTTATACTTATGTGTCGGCGAAAAAAGTGAGTGCAAGGATATTACTATGTGTGCTGTATTAATAATTATTCATTGGGTCCTATTACTATCGTTATTGTTATAGTTTTATAAAAAATGTGTATATATAGTAATCAATATATACA